GGTTGGGATACCTGGAACTGAGGGTACAAGATAGGAAATTGGCTAATCGTGTTCCGACTACAGCGGCCATTAATTCTAATTGAGGAAGTGTTAGTTCCTTCAAGGGTGCAACCCGAGATTTTGCCATGATGGGCGATGATTGGTTCCCGTTGGTAAGGTACGCCACAGCTCCATATGCCTTGGGGCTTGCATCAACAAACACATGGAAGTATATTGTGGAAATTGGTGCAGGAGTTTGGGAAAGGTATTTTCTTTGCATGCAAACGCTGGTTGCTTCTTGTAAGTCCCTTGCAATATTTAGCCATTTAGTTTTGAGTTAAAGAGGTAGTGGTTCATCCCATTCCAGTTCGTTCTGCCACAGTTCTTGCATTAGTAGTTTTGCTTTGACAGTTAAAGGAGATAAAAGTCCAACAGGGTCGTAGATCTTGGAAGAGATTTGTAATACGTGACGCTTAGTGATAGTTGGAGGTGGTGTGTAATCCTGTGCTGGTGGAAAACTTAGAGTATCTGTTGATGGATTCCATTTCAAACCGAGGATGTTGACAATGGTTTTAGGATCAGCTGTTCCATCTTTTGTAGCAATTTCTTGAAGTGATGGACTATTTGATGGCCAAGAGTGGAGATTGAAATGTGCATTATGCATAATAGATCTGGCGTCGTTGTAGTACAGAATACTGTTCGTTTTTTGGTCACAACCAGAGATTATGTTGTCGACATAAATATTGTCCTTTATGTTTTGAGCTATAGGGAGGTCGTAGTTTTCTAGGTGGCAACGGAGGGTAGCATTCAACATGAAGGGGGAGCTATCAAATTTTCTCTCTGGGTTTGTAGGGTCTGAGAGCCAAAGGAATCTAGTGAAGTCTCGGTCACTGTCATCGAGTCCGACATGGAGAAAGGCCTTCTCAATGTCTGCTGATATGCCATAGGTGAATGTACGAAACTGCCGCAGTAAAATGGCACACATGTCATTCAGAAACGGTAGACCAGTAAGAAGACAGTCGTTCAGACTAGGAAAATTTGGTGATGATTGAAAGCTGCAGTCGAGAACAATTCTGACTGGTGTTGTTGTTGATTCCTTTTGGATAGGGTGATATGGAATGTAATGTGCTTTGTCGGTTAGTTTGGTTTCTTCGACTTTCTCAATGAATCCTCGCTTAGTTTGTTATTCAATAATGTCGCCATAACATTTCAGCAAATCAGGGGTAGCGGCAAGTCGATGGATCATTGCTCGAGTACGACGCTCACATGCTACAATCTTGGACAAAACCCTTGAGACCATTTCAGCTAATATTACAAAGTTATTGAACATTGACAAAACAAACTTTGTCCCCCCCTCCCCCCCAGTTCAATGTTGTGAACAACGCCGAAACAACTTTTGGTAATATACCATGATACAAGCTCAACATTGAGTTGGAGGAGCGGGGGTTTACGAATGGCAACATGATTCAACATGGAGTTTATCATAAAAATAAGCGAATTTTCTATAGGGGGAAAATAGTCTCAATCAGTTATGTCCAAGATTGTCTGAATGTGGGAATTTTACAAGCATACCAATTGTTTGAGAGTTATGGTTAGAAAGGCAGACAGGTTAGTGTTGCGATGGAGGAAAAATTATTAAATATATGTTACACTGCAAGTACTGTAGGTAACCGAAATTTTTATCCATATTAGCAATCATTCCAGGCGATGCAAAATCTATATTTATATTGTAAGTGAAGGGAAATTAATTAGGAGGACATAATACACGTCTGGATGAAAGTAAATTATTTATTGGACTTTTGGTAAACTTGATTTCTACCTTATTCCATATCATCATTGAAAGCTTCGTATAGTGAATGTAAAAACATATCCAACACTAAAAGTAACCGAATTGGTCAAACTTGATAACATGGTTTGCTCAGAAAACGTCTATTCACTCTAACGTGCGAACGTTCCCTGGTCCATTTGAACCAATTAGCTACTGCTATAGAACATAGCTACAGAGTTTAAAAAGAAATGGAATCATGGACATGCTAAACGTTGTCTACACAGCTATTTTCATATAGGCAATCGGCACTTTTCACAGGTTATTATAGTATGGCGACCCCCCACGAGGAACAAAGGGTCGCCTGTACAATGTTCAAATTGGCCATAGTAAAGAAATGCGAGTATATCGCCATGACTTTTGGAGCATAAACCTTTTATAATAATATATAAGAACATTTCAAACGATTAACGAAAAGATTTGATGTGATATCAACGGTAAACGGGGATAGCAGCAAGATTTTATAGTAAATGATAGGTCTAGTCATTGTTTTAAATTGGAGACGCCGTTTACCGTTGTAATGGCCTGTTTACCGTTCTTTTATCAAACCACGATAAAGATTATACTTGGTTAACCGTCATATAAAAAAATTCGGGTTAAATTATAAGTTTTAAAAGCAAGTTTGAGGCTCATAAACTATAGAACAAATGACGTCATCTTATAAAAAATACCTATATACAGCAACACTTGAACGTGATATTTACATAATTGAATTAAATCCCAATGCATGTGTCTCGACCTCTATGCCCTAGTAACATGATATTACTCGCTTCTGGCAGTAGAAAACTATATATTTTAGATGAAACAACAAGAAAAATTCATGCGTTTCATGCGTATATTTTAGGATGTGACAAGTTCAAATAGGCATTATATTGCTCGCTTTTCATGGAAACAAATATATATATATATATTGCTCGAAAAACAAGAAGTAACGTGTATATCCATCTTTCAGACTACTGGAGTGGAAGCAAATTAAAAAAGATTGAGTATCATGTAACTGCCATTTAGGTTTCTGGTAATGGAGGTGTTGATGTAATTTTCCAGGAAAACTTGTTGGTTTTCAGTGCGGGATGGCGGAGTGATGCCTATAGATTCGAGGGACCAGAATCTTTCTAGATCAAGTTCTGTTCTTTTGGTGGATCTGACTGTCTGCGACAGGTTCACAAGGGTGTTGGAGGGTCTGGAAGGTGTTGGTAATGGCCCAGAGAGAAGATAACCAAGTTTTGATGCAACAGCAGTGGATCCCTGACCACGAATTACTTCATCTTCTACTATATCCCAGTAATGGTCGGCTCCGATAAGCAGTGATATACGAAAGTCCTCTTGAGCTGTAATAGGATGGGCTAGGGTTAAATTGTTCAGGTGGAGCATATCATTTATGTGTTGACGAGGTGGAATTTGGAGGGGCGTTGCTATCTCCTCAACTACAAGAACTTGTAATGGAATTTGTTGTCCAGTACGGGTGATGATATAAACAGTAGCAAGTGGTAGGTGACGTCTAGCTGAGGTTTGGGCTCCATAGGCTGATAGTGCAATTTCCTCTGTTTGGGAGGACATAACTCCAAGCTGGTTTGCTAGGTCAGTAGTAATAAAAAACCGTTGAGCTCCTTCATCAAGAAGAATATTGGCATCACAATGAAGTTGCCCAGTGCTCACAGTTGCAATGGCTGTTTTCAAAAGCGAAACATGTCTTACTGTTGGAGAATAGGTGGATGGGACCAGGGTTGCATGGGTGGGTGTTGGCTGTGGTGTATTTGGAGTAGCGGGAAGGGCTTGTTGATTGTTGGGATTTTGGTGGAAGGGAGGGGGTGGAGGTGTTATTGGAGGGTGGTTAGGAGGCATCATTGAATGAGGGCATAGGGTGGTGTGGTGCTTCCCCTTACATTTCAGACAACGGAACTTGGATTGGCGGTTTGATGACTTATGATTTCCCAAGCAATTGAAACACAGTTTTTCCCTTTTCGCTATTGTCCACCTCTCTTGGCAATCCTATACAACATTACAATTGTAGGTGGGGTGAGGACCCTTGCCATATACACATCGTTTAGTCGTGTGTCCCGGCTTGTATCTTGTGCTTTGATGTTGGTTTCCTTGTGTTTGTGTGAAAACCGAACCTACTGTTGTGTGTTTAGGTGATGGCAGTGTAGCTTGCATTAGATTGGATTAAACACCAGCTTCTAGAATTCTTATTTCTTTACGAATGGACTCTCTCAGTTGTGCAAATTTCCATTCGGGACTGTCATGGTCACGGGCTAAGTTTGTTCTGAGTTGATGTGGTAATTTTCCCAGAACTATTGGGACTAGGAGGTCTCCATAGTTACTGTGGGATTTTGCGAGCGATTCTAACCCCCTAATGTGGTTTTCCATAGTGTCATAGAATAGTTGTAAACTTGCTAGTTCTAGTTGGGGTTTTGCAGATCAAGTAGACACTGCATGTGTGCATTAATTACTTTGGTGGGGTTACCAAATCGTTTCTTTAGGAGTTGAATAGCTTTGGTATAGTTATGGTTTGTGAGGGGAAACCCTGCAATAGCTCTTGATGCATCACCCACCAGTTGGGCCTTAAGGTAACTAAACTTTTGTACATCCCCAAGGGTTGAATTGGAGTGGACTGCAGCTTCAAATGAGTCCCAGAATGTAAACCATTGTAGCGGGTTCCCAGAAAATGTTGGAAGGTTTAATTTTGGTAGATGACTATTTTGTTTGATAAGGCTGGGGTGGTGGGGTGTAGTTGTTGGTAGGGTTGGTGGAAATACTGGTATAACTGGGGTCTCTTGGTGAAATTGTGTGTTCGTAGCGGGGTGACCATCTTGTTGTGACTGTGCATTTGTAGAGGGTTGACTATCTTGCTGTGATTGTGCATTTGTAGAGGGTTGACTATCTTGTTGTGATTGTGTGCTTACAGGGGAGGGGATTATCTTGTTGAGCATGCGCAATTTCATTAGGGGTCCCCGAGTCTGTTTGATAATTTGTGTTCACTTGAACTTTACTGTTGTTGAGGGGGATTGACTGCTTGTATTTTCTAAGATTACTTGAGTTACTTCAGAGGGGGAGTTACTTTGAGACAATTTTGTAGATTGAAAATGTTCAATAGTGTTACTTATCTGAGCTTCCGTTTCGTCAATTTCTTCTTTGATGTCCTCGGTTTGGAATATTTCTTTCTCCAGTTCTTTTGGGTCTTCAATCATCCCTACGATTTTCTCATCTAGTTCTTCCAGAATCGACCTTTTCCGAGCTAATTGATCAACGATTCTCTTTAAGGATGTAATATCACTGTCCGTTAGGGGATCCTCCTTCGTTGCCATATTTGTAGCTTTCTTGATTGTTTGTGTCAAATGGGCCCGATAGCCCGCTCGCGATGCTTGAAGTTTTGGTAGATTTTCCGCCATAATCCTGGTCACGGCACCAATTAATGTAGAGTAGAATGTATTTGACGGAAAAAGAGTACTTGACTTCGTTTAATAGAGTAATATGCATAGAAATAGTATAACCTTAGTATATAATACTAGAAGTTACTATCGCAAGGAAAATGCTGCCTCAACCCGTCTTCCATCACACAAGCACGTAAGGCACCCCTAAGACACCAGGAGGTAGGAAAAGTGCAGTTTGAATACGAAAACAGCTTGCACAAAGTCGAAGGTCGGCTAGATATTCTAATCATAAAGATTATAAATAACACTAGAAGAGGCATTGAGG